ACCGTGCTGGCACCGGGGGACTCCGTGTCCCCGAGGGCTGGCGGCGGGTGATCCCGGCATCGTCAGTGAGCCTCTCCCCCCCATCAGTCCCACCCTCGGGACTCTGCTCTGCGTCAGACTCCGGGGTGAAGGCCGTCGGGGCAGCGAAGATGCCGCCGGCCCAGGGCCCCCCCACCCCCTGTCCCCCCAGGGTTCACTGTCCAGGGAGGGCTCCCGGGGGTGTTTGTGGTGACAGCACACGGAGGGCCGTGTGGAGGGGCCGGGCGCGGCCTCAGCGCAGACCGAGGGGCCTGGGGGACAGAGAGAGCACTTCCACCGGCGGTGCCCTGCCGGCCCCGGGGGACGGGCCTCGGGGACTGAGTCGCGCTGGGCAGCGGACGGAAGGAAGGGAGGGAGGCTCTCCTGGGCAGACGAGCAGGTTGGACACGGGCGTGAGGACTCGGCCGTGGTGAGGACGGGTCGGTGCCCGGGTGTCGGCTGTGGGAAACAGCGCGTCACCCGTGACGGGGCCGGGGAGCGGGGTTCCCCTCAGCCCAGGTTGGTGGGGCAGGCTGAGCCCCGGCTCGCGGCCGAGACCACGGCTCGGGGGGCTCCGGAGGCCACGTCTCCCAAAGGAGAGGCCCGAACGTCCCTCCCGCGCCCCCGGCCTCTCGAGTGCACTGGGCTCCCTCCCTCCCCGGGGCTGTGCGACCCTCTGTGTCCGGGCCGGGCCCTCTCTCCCCGGGCTCAGCCCTCCTCACCCTCAGACCCCAGGGTCACGGTCACCTCCCGTAAGGAGGCTGCCCTGGCCCTTCCTTCACCCGAGATTCCCGGCTCTGGTGTCTCATCCCGCCCCCCTCCCCCGCTCCCGTGGTTTCCCTTTGTGGCCCTCATCCCGGTCTGTACCGATGTGCTGTGTCTGAGCCGACGGGCTGGCAGCCGATCCCCTCTGCCGCCAGACCGCGCACGGCCCTGTGGTCGGGGACCCCCACGCATCTGCTCCCTCGGTCTGTCCCCCTGCGGCCGCCACGCAAACAGGTCCCCTAAGTGTCGGCTGAATGATAATTGAATAAATGCATGCCAGACCAAAAAAAAAATACAGAGACCACCCACACACATGTAACAGAAACATATTATTAATAAGAGAAGGATCTTTGTTTGAGGAGAGGCTCCTTGGCTGAGACTCAGAGCTGGGATTTCACGGCCATTTCTGTCACTTTTGCGCTGAGAGAGACGGAGAACTGAGGTCGAACTTGTGGAGTGGCTGTGTGTCCCCCTCCCCGGGCTCCTAGCCGTGGGTCTCAAATCCCTCCTTGGTGAGATCGGGAAATACGGTCTGTCCCACGGAACTGGAATAAATACAGTCTGTCCCACGGAACTGGAATAAATACGGTCTGTCCCATGGAACCGGAATAAATACGGTCTGTCCCACGGAACCGGAATAAATACGGTCTGTCCCATGGAACTGGAATACTGGGGGAGACCCACCAGAACCGTACATGCTGTTGCACACTCATACAAGTATTAATCTGGACCAACAGCGTGGAGACATTTGCATCTGGATTTTCCATCTCAGGCCCGTTGGCAAGAATCACATAACGTGACTTTGTGTTTTGTTCCCGTTTGCTGCAAAGGACTGTTTTCTGTCGCCACCGGGCAAAAGCCAAGGAGCGGGGCCTCGAGCACGACCGGCGGTGAAGCCGTGCTCTCATCACCGGGCTGGACGGCGGACACGGGCCGACGCGGAGTCCCACTCCCCGGCGAGAACTCGCGCCTCCTGCGTCTCCCGCGAGGCCCAGGCAGCTCCAGTGAGAGCAGGGCGTGTCGTCGTCAAGGAGGCCCGGGCCTCCCAGAGCCCGGCTCCGCGTCCTGCCCACGGAATCTGCTCATTCCCACTCCGAGCCCCGAGTGTCTGGCCGTGTGTCTGACGCCGCGTGAGGACTCCGGGACAGCTGGAGACGCCGGAGTGGCTGTCTGGGAAGGGCTTAGGAGAGGATCAGGTTGTTATGCCAACAGTGGTCCGGGACAAGACACGGTGGTGCCATGCAAAACACGCGGATTAAACACAAAAGCCACGTTCCTGTTTCTTGCCGTTCAGGCCAAGTTCATGGCCTGTGAAGGGGCGATAAACCATGTGGCAGGTATCACAAGGGAAGCTTTGGTAGAAGCATACCAAGCATTTCCTATTTAAAAAAATATTGATTGGCCACCTACTAGCGTTTCCACATGTACTAGCATGTATGTGAGAGAATGTACATGTACTGGCATGTACGTGGGAGAACAGTTTCTGTGTGACACAGGCGGGACAAGGTCAGTGGCGTGAGCAGTGAACCGGAAGGCGGGATGAACAAACTGTGCTCCCACCGTGAGCGAGGTGTCCAGACCGGAGGGGACTGCCCGAGAAAGGGGAGGGAAACAGCAGGGACGTGTTCCTTCCCGTGTCTGTGTAGAGCGAGAACCTCCCAGTAGGAAGCAAACAAAAGCCCTGAACCCACCCAAAACAAAACACGTGCGGTGTTACCACTGCGCCTCGAGAGCAGAACAAAGCCCAGAAACCCCAGTGAGGTCGGGGCGTGGGTGGGTGTTTCCCTGGAGCGTGCGTGAGCCGGCCAGGGCGCGGGGCCGGGCGGGGACGGAGCTGTGGGTGTGTGGGCCCAGCAGCGGCCGCCCCAGGGCGCTCGCCAGGGAGGCCGGTCACTCGGGAGGCCCCCCCGCGCCAGGCCGAGGAGCCTGGCCCTTGTTCTGCGAGGAAGGCACCTACCCCAGCAAAAACGGCAAGGCAGATGCCACCTCCAACCTCCGCGTGAGGGTCCACATGATGTTGACCTTGGGCAAGGCTCTGGACAGACTTAGGGAGGACGGTTGGGAGGGCTTGGAAGACCCCGGCCAGCGGCCAAGTGCGCCGGAGCCACTTGCTGCCTCCCCCACCGGGCGTAGGACGTAGGACACGGCTTGCGCTTCAGTGAGGACTGTTTCCAGGACCCCCGGGGAGAAGACGGGCCGCCGTGGAGTGGGTGCTGGGCGAGTTTGCGCTGAATTTAAGGTCGAAGGGGACCTCAGACCTCGTCCAGCCCTGCCCTGTCATTTTACGAGGGAGCACACGGAGGCGAGGAGGACACATCACCTTCCTCCTCCTCCTCACCGGAAGAGCTTGTCCGTGTTTACTGTGTGTTCCGTGTTGTCCAGGTGGTTGGCGTGTGCAGATGACCCTCACGACGAGCCCCTGTGGTCGCGGCGGTCTAGGGGACGCGGCCACTCGCCGGTGTGGTGCGGTGGTGAGGTGCGGAGCCGGGCCTCAGCCCGGCGCGGCTGGCTCTGCGTGGGTGCTGGCTCTGCAGAGCCGCCCTCTCCAGGCCGCGCCTCTGGAAGTCGGGGGGACAGAGGGTCCACTGCACTAGCGAAGGGGCGTTCTGGTGGGGGCTGCGCGACGTCCCTGCTATGCCCTCGGCAACATTTTTGTCCGCGAGTTGGATTACAGGTGGAAAACAGTTCACCGGACTGTCAGAAGCTCTGAGCGGAGGGAGGAATTAGAAATACACCGGACAGAAGGAGCTGGACCCCAGAGGCCTGGGAGGGCAGGTGGACCCCGATTTCTTTGCAGAGGAATGTGGGGAGGGGGTGCATGGGGGCCTCCGGGCTGACTGTCCGAGAATGGGGTGGAGAATGTGTAGAAAAGAGGCGGAACCTGGGGGGGGGCGGTTGTGGAGTTGCTTTTATGTGAGTTTACACATGGGGCCGATGCTCCTGGCTATCTTCCCGCCTGTGTCCTTAGTTTTTGTCCTGGGTTCTCCTCGAGCGGGGTCTTGATCTTCTCCCCTGGGGCTCACCTCCTTGGCTGTCTCTGTCCTTGGCTGGGTCCTTGTTCCAGCCCCTCAGGGGCTCAGCCCCTCGGGGGGTGCTGATGGCACCCCCATCGCCCTGCCAACGCACACCACGGGGAGAAGATTTGCACCCTGTCTGGACTATCGCGGCCGTGAGAGCAGCTCTGTAAATTAAAGTCCTTCCGGAGAGAGAGGGCAGGGCGTGAATGCATCGGACACTCGGCGGTTCATGGCGTGACGGTGAGGGGTGAGCGTGCTTAGGGGTGACCCGGCGCCGTGGGCCTGGGGACTTGTGTCTGAGTTTGCTGAAGACCCCACGGTGACGACCCCCGCAGGCTTCTCTCGTGTGGCTCCAGGAAGTTGCCTAGAATCTGTGGGCTGAAGCTCTCGGGAGAAGGGGCAGACTCAGCTCAATAAAAAGCTTTTTCATGGTCAGAACTGTCCAGAAGTGGAAGGGTAGAGTAGTGAGCTCCCCGTTGTTGGAAGTATTCAAGAGTACAATGAGCAGCAGCTTGTCCGAATAGCAGTATCACAGACCCAGACATCCAAGGGGGAACATGGACTCTGATCTGTGGGTCGGTTCCACCCGGGAGAGTGTCTGTGTCGGGGAGGACCCTGGGGTGCTTTGCCAGGGGGACATGGGTGAGGCCGCTGCCTGGGGAAGGTCAGCGAGGGACCCTTGCATGGGGCCCGCATGCCCTCCCCACCTGTGAGGTGGGCCCGGCCCCCAGCGACCCTGGTCAGCCTTGCCCTCTGAGAACCACGTGCCTCTGGCGGGCGCAGGAGTGCCCACTGGACCCCGGGGCTGCTCCGTTGTAGCTTCCGTCGCTGGGGGTCCGTCTGTCCTCTCCTCCAAGTCCCCACCTCCCACGGCCGGTCTCAGATCCAGTAGCGAGAGTGTCGGACAGAGGGCAGCTGGAGCGAGAAAATGCATTTTAATAAAACCCCATTGATTTCTATGGGCGCAAGTCCAGGAACAGGCACCTGGAGGGCCCGCCATCCCCGGCCCCCTCCCCCGCTCCCCTGACCTCCTGCGGGGCGGTCACACATCGATCGGCTTCCCAGATAATAGACCCCGCCGCCGGCGGGGACCTCAGGGGACCGCAGGGCGCTGGGAGAGGCGCTGGCACTCAGCAGCCCAGCCCCGAGTTAATCAAACTAGCAACAGGATCTCAGGCGGCGACGGCGGCGGCGGCGGCGGCGGCATTATGCGTGATTACTGACAGGCACCAGCTGCCGCGGTCGCCGGCTCCAGCGCGCTATGTGGCCGCCCGGATCGAGAGGCGGATTCCTGGCCCGCCCGGGAGGGCCGGCCCAGCCCGCGCCCCCGGCCGCGGGGCGGCGATGACCACTCTCGGTCGCCGGCGCTGAAGGGCGGTGGGGGCTGTGCCTGGGGCCCGGGCCGCGGGCTCGGAGCCGCCCGCCCGCAGAGGGCGAGGAGCCGAAGAGGAGACATGTACGGGAATTACTCGCACTTCATGAAGTTCCCCACCGGCTTCGGCGGTGAGCGCGGCACCCTCTGGACCGTCTGTCTGCGGGGAGGGAGGGGACACGGCGGTGGCGGGGCGGGGGGGGGGCAAGCCAGCGGGATTAGTGTGGCATCTCGTCTGTGGACCGGCGTGTGCAGGGTGCGTGCGAGGGAGTGTGCCCGTGCAGGGGAGAGGGGGAGTGGGGGAGAGGGGAGCGGCGGCCGGGAGCCGGGAGGGGGGCACTGGGGGCAGCGAGTCGTCGTCGGGACACCTGCGGCAGAGCTGGGACGACACATTGTTGCAGCCGGCCGGCCGGCCGCGAGTTTGTGTGGGCGTGGAAGTGCGGAGTTCACGCGAGTGGCGGGGGCTGCGGCTCACCCGCTGGCTGGCCGCGGGGAGAAAGGGAGAAGCAGTGTTGCCCCCGCTGAGGGCCCCCCCGGCCGCTCCTGGAGGAGGGCATGCCTGTCGTATTCAGGAGCAGATTCCCCCAGAATTGGGATTTTAAAAAGCAAACGTGACGCTTTCGTTTGCCACCTTGCTTTCCTTCCTGTTGGCTTCCCCTTTGATTTGCTAATAGCCTCTGGTCCCCTCCCCCGCTGGCCCCGAACCCAGTGCTGCGGCTGGGGCAGGGGCAGGGGCAGGGGCAGGGGCAGGGGCAGGGGCAGGGGCAGGGGTCAGTGCCTTCACGTCCACGAGGGGCCGTGCCGGCTGCAGCTCCGTCGGGAGCTGTGCGGGGGCGGCCCCCACCCCCCGGCACACGCGCTCCCAGGTCCCCGGATTCAGGGACAGTCGCCCAGCCAACAGCTGACCGGCTGGCCTCTCCCTGGGCAGCTGGTGCTTCTGGGAGCCCTGCCGTTCCTGTCCTGGCGGGCAGGCCAGAGCAGACATTCCTGTCAAGTTTGCGGAGACGCCCCTGCCCGCCTGACCTCCCGCGCGTGTGGGGCGACTTGGAGCACAGCAGGCGGGAACACCCGCGGGGCCAGGCGCGCTGTGAGCGGGGCTGCGTGGGGACTCCCAGGCCGAGGGGGGGCCTGCGCCGGGGGAGGGTGTTAGGCCCGGGGGCGTGCTCGTTCCTTCAGGGCCACGGGGGCGCGGTGGAGAGCCAAGCGCAGGGCTAGGCACTCGGGGTGCAGGTGGGGCTGAGACGTGGGCTTTGCCCCTCGGGTGAGGTGGGCTGGTCCCGCGACGGCACGTGGAAATCCGTGCAGGTTGCTGCCTGGACGCAGGGGGTGGGGGCTGTGGGCGCGTTCCCGGAAGTGGTGGCACTCAGGCTGTGGGGGCCCGTCTCGTGACACGGCCGGTGAGGGCGGTGGCCGACCCTGTGAGCCGGGCACCGCATGTCCGGTCTGCAGCCGCGCAGCCGGGTCCGGGGGGTGAGAGGCCTTCACAGCTCCCACCTGGGCCTCACTCACTGCCCTGTCCCCTTTGCCCTCTGAGTTCAGGTGGCAAAGTTCAAGCTCCCCCCTCAGATTCTCGGGGTCCCCACGGTCTGGGAGGCTCCAGCTCCTCGAATGCCAAGGAGACCCTCGGGGACAGCTGGGGTGCACAGGAGGGTTGAGGGTGGGGAGACCGGGGAGGGAGCTGAGGCACAGGCTGGGGAGGGCAGGCCGAGACTGACACTCGGGGGCTGCCAGGCTGTGCCTTGGAATGCGGGCACGCAGGGGCCCTCAGGGGCATGTCAGACCCCTCACTGTGCAGGCGTGTCAGCAGGGGTCCCAGGGACAGCAGGGACTAGTTCAAGGTCGGGGGGGGGCATTGAGAGGGGGAGCCCTTTCAGAGAGCCCCGACTCAGACCGATAGATACCGACCTCTTCCAGTCTGGTGTAGGCCAGAGCGGGACAGACGAAGGGGGAGAGGGGGAGGGAGGGGGGAGGAAGGGGGGACAAAGTTTGGTTTCTAGTTTTTCACCGACCAGCTGTGGGACTGTAGGAAAGATGCCGCACCTCTCTGAGCCCCGGTGTCTTCGTCTGTAAAGTGGGGTTCATAGCCCCCCCCCACTGTCGTGAACACTCCAGGTGCCGATGCCGAGAAGGCGGCGCCTGTCCCGTCGTCTGTGTGCTGGGCTCTCGGTAAAAAAAAAGGGAACACACTCGCCCCCTCCACGTCCCCTCGGTTCCAACGTGCCGGGTGATTGGAAAACCCAACATTCCCGCGGAAGGCGACTCAGGAGTCTGGGGGGGGTGTGAAATGAAACCCGTGGAGACCCGCAGACTTGGCTGGTCTTGGTGCTGGCCCCGCTGTTCGGTTCGGTGGGGGGTGAGAGGCCACCTGGAAGGGGGGAGGCCGGTCCACAGAGGGGGGGGGAGGGGCGCGTCCAGGCCGGTCCCCGGTGCCGGTCCCCGGTCCCCGGGGGCGGCTTTGCCTGCTCGGTGCTGGGAGAGGAGAACGTCGTTTCCTTTCGTTGTGCAGCTGCTTGCTGTGCTGGCCTGGGCCAGGTAAGAGGGGCCCCGACTCTGAGGCTGATGCCAGGGCCCCGTGGGCCGGAGGTCTGTGGGGGGACCTGCCGTGGCGGCGGGACCACGGGGACAGGAGCACCTGGGGGCTGGAGATGGTGTCCCCTGCAGCCTCCCACCGCCTGCACCCCAGGGTGGCGGGGTGGCGGCCCTCCTGGACCCACTGGGGGCGTCTCCCCTGCCCCTTCGGCCGTCAGCAGGTGGAGCCTCAGGGGCCCCGGGGACGAGTGCGGGGACCACCAGGGGCCCAGCCTGGCCCCCGGGGGAAACACACCTGGGACTCGCGTCCAGGGCTGCGCTCACCCGCCAGCTGCCGGACCACCAGGGCCTCAGAGAGTAAGCCGCCGGTCGGATTGGCCGAAGGGTGGTGACCGGCTGGGCGGCAGTGGCCCCGCAAAGGGCCCCCTGTCCCCGCTCCGGCCCTGCCCTGGGACGAGGAGGAAACCCTCGCCCTCACTGCCAGGGCCCGGCTGTCCCAGCCGCTCGGGAAGAGCCCCGTTTGCCGGGACGAGCCAGCGGTCGCCTGTGGGAAGACGGCAGACACAGCCCATGGTCCCTGGTGCGGCCCTGTGCTGACCCTCAGGGTCCTGAGGCCTCAGGGAGAGGGGCTCCTTCTCGCGGCACCCCTGTGAGTTCTTGCGCAGCTCGGCTCACTCAAACCTCCAGGCAGCCCCTGCGTGGGCGCCGGGGCCGGCGTGATCGCGGCCGCCTGCAGGGGCAGGTGCGGGCTGTGCCGGGGCGGTCGGTGTCCGAGGCCCTGGAGCGGGAGGGGGCTCAGCCAAGGGTTGGAAGCACGCGGCGGGCTGCACAGCCCACTCCGCTGAGCTGCGTCTCGGGGCCTCTCTGCGCCTGGGCCTGGCTCTGGGTGCTGCAGGCGGCCCCCCTCCCAGGGCTCAGGAGCCCCGCAGCCCCAGCCCCGCCCCCTGCTGCAGACTCCCGGGCTGTCCTTCCAGGGGGAGAACAGGACAGCTGAGCTGTCGCTCCGGGGCCACGGCGAGCCTGGGAGAGTCATTGGTGCCTCCTTCTGGGGGCCTCCTGATTCGCAGAGCCCGACCCTGGCCATCAGGGGGACGGTCCTTTCCCCCCGAGAGTGGACCCAGGGGACCCTGGTCTGAGTTGGAGACGCTTGTGTGTGTGTGTGTGGGCAATACGACGGGGTGTGTGGGGTGTGGTAGATGCATGTGTGTGTGGTGTGGATGTGTGTGCATGGTGTGTGCGCGTGCATGCCAGAACACGGTTTTCTCTCTGCGCGCGTGTGGGTGGCCGAGGGGGGCCACCGTCCTGTGAGCGGTCAGGAGTGAGGGCTTCTGCAGGGAGGAGCAGTGATGCATGAGGTCTGGAAGGAGACGTTTAGTGTAAACTCTTTTCTGAAGTATTTGCAATCTGACCGAGGGAGAGAGCTCCCGCGCATGAGCCGCACAGCAAGTGGGGGAGAGGCCGTGGGCAGAGGGCCGAGGGCTGCCCGCCTCCCGCTGCCCCTCGCTCTGGAGCCGGCGGGTCCGCGGAGACTCAGCCAGCAGACCACGGGCTGGGACGTCCCGAGCTCCCTGAGGAGCCTGGTCGTTCTCCCTTTCAGTGGAAGCAGGGCACTCGGGGACCCAGGGGTGCGGTCTGTTCTCCGGGACGCCTGGGCCTGCGTGGCTCTCCCGGGACCAGCCGGTGTGGCGGTGCTCACAGAGCGGGAAGAGCCCCCCGTGTTTGCCAGGGACCGACGACGGGCCGGACCCTTTGCCAAGGCTGTGTGGCAGGTGCCACCGGCGCCCGTGATGGGGGCAGCTGTCCTCGGCCCCGCCCCCTTCACCAGGCAGTGTCCAGCCTCAGGGGCACTCTTGCTCCGCGCCCCTCCCGGCTCACTAGGGGGGCCCTCACGCTCTCCGCTCTCTCCAGCACAAGTTCCCGCAGCGAATGGAATGGATGAAACCCTGGGCGGGGGTCAGGGGACTGGCCCCTGGGCGTCCTAATCAACACAGGCCCGGGCTTTCCAGGTGGCCCCACTTTGTTCTAATGCGTGGGACCCCACGTCCCCTCCTGGGGCAGGGGTCGGCAGACTTTTCCTCTCAAGGGCGGGAGAGTAAACACCCTGGTCTTGGCCAGCGACGGGGCCGCTGCCTCGGTGCTCGGGTCTGTCCTAGCGGGAGAGCTGTGTCGTCACCGCGCAAAACCGTGTCCCCTCGGGCACGGGGCTCGCTGCCTGCGGGCAGGCTGCCAGCCCCCGGGGGTCCTTCTGGAGACGTGCATTCCCCTTGCTGGTTTTGCTCCGGTGCCCGATCCCCAGTGCTGGCTCTTCCTGCTTTTTCCTGCCCCGGAGCCGAATCTTCACAGCCAGACCGAGGGTCCTGCGGGTCACCTGGCCCCTCAGTCACAGAGGAGGACCCTCGGGAACAGGCGTGGCTTGCCCAGGACCGGTAGCTTTTTGTGGTCTTCACACTGCCCCCCCCTGCCCAGCGGAGGAAGGAGAGAGGGGTCTAAGCCAGAGAGCTTCCCCCCACCCTTAGGTAAAACAACTCTACCCACCCCAGCGGGGTCCCGGTTAACTGCATGCACGGTGTGGGGATTCCATAAAATACAGGCTGAGGATCAT